TAACAAAGGGCATCGCTACTAGGAGCAAGGACGCTACTTGGGGCTCCCCAGTCATGACGACCCGACGACCGTGAGTCCGTTGCCTCCGTTTGTCCACTACCGTCGGCATACGGCTCGTGGATCCTTTCTCAGACTCGAGGAACCTAATTGTGGTGGAAGTATTACGAAGAAGTGCAATCTTCAAGTTTGAAGAAGTGATTGAAGAGTCATTTGAAAAGCAAAAAGTCTCTGCAAATATTGAAGGCAGTTGGACATTGTGCTCGCCAAAGGAAGTTCGCACCGCTAGGCCTTTCGAGCCTTGGCTGTTTCCTTCCGAGCGGTGAGGTGAATCAAAGCCGTCGTGGCAAGATGAATACAATACAGGAAGTATGAGTCAACTACGTTATCAACATATTTTGCACCTTTATACTCATATCAGCACTAACAGACCCGGGGCGGGGTGTGGTTGCCCATGTAGTCTGACAAATCCATTGCATATATTTAAAAATGCATGTAGTTGGACTCGGTGTAATTACTCTCGACTGGGACCGTATTCCGATGCAGACCAGGACTGCTAACTCAACGCATCAGCTTCGCATACCTCTACATAAATCTTTTGCGCAGAGTGACATTGCCTGGCAGATTGGGGTCTCATGTCATGAGAGTGGTACATGGTAGGTATTTTCTGACACTTGTCTTTTTCGACCAACCTGTCGTTTAGTTTTTATGCTCTGGACATACACTGACATACTTTTACATAGTAACTAGGCTTCTGAAGGACGGTGCGGCACAGGCCGGGAGTGGTTGGGCAATAAGTGACCAAGAGCCCGTGCAATTCTTTCTTGCTTTCTTCGTTTAATTGCTCCTTTCTTTCTGCAAGTTGTTTCTTCCTTTGGATGCTTTGGAAGCCCAGGAATCTTTCATGAAAGTTTGGAACGCTCCAATTCCACGATCCACCGTTGCTGTATTTGCTGGCCCCGCAGGCACGTGGGGACAGCAAACAGCTTATATGGACTCTGACACCCCAAGGGTGCTCACTTCGTTTTGCCAAGGTCGTGGAGCAGATCTCGGAATTCGACTCCCAAAGCGTGGCCAACAGAGCATGAACATATGCTTCTTTGAAAGTCAAAGAGGAGGTGCTCATGGACATGATCGGCAGCTATGTCGTTCCTCGGACGCGATCTTTCCAAACTGGCTCCTGGCATCGCTGCTAGGAACAAGAAGCTACCAACGGGGCTCCTGACGGCTGGCAAAATTCTATAACACGGTGGCATATCACGTTAGGTGTACATTTTTGATCAGATGGTCAGCCCTCAAATCTCGCAAGGACACCAATGGTTGAACTTGGAATTATCCTCCATCTGTAGTGGACAGTTGAGTCGACACTTCGCGTGAACTCACCAATCCATCGCCTTGCAGGTCCTACGCACTCAGACCTTTGCAGAGCAGGGACTGGCAAACAGTGTGTGGGGATTTGGGACCTTGGGAATTCGGAATCAGCTGCTTCTCGATGCTGTGGCCGCAGCTGCGATGGTCGGTGAATTTACTTCGCAAGGACCAGTGCTTCGGTCCTTTGGAGCTGGAATTCACTGATGAAACGTAGAATCAGTAGTTCTGGCTGGCTTGGAGCACTCTCCTGCAGTCCTTTTTTATTGGAGAGTTTGGGAAGTGGAGAAGGGAGGCTAGTTGAAACCTTTGCTGACTGCGGATTGTCAGGATTGACTAACACTGCATGGACCTATGCTGCGCTTGCTGACCGGCAGGTCCAAAATCTCAGTGATTCTCCTGTGAATACTTGTGATTGAGCACACACACACACACACTATAATAAAAGAACCAAATTCAATTCATGCGCACATCTACAGCGATGGATCACCTAGGTGCCGCTGTTTAGCTTTGTGGCGTCCACTGCGCCACTGGCCGAGATGCCCTTTCGGGAACTGGCAATGATGGCATGGTCTTTCGCTACACTGCAGATTCACAAGGAACCCTTCATGCACCTGGAATGCAAGAAATAATGTTGAGCCCATGTGCCAGTAGCGATTTGACGATGGAGTGGCTGGAGCGGGCATGTTGAACACAATAGTTAAAGTACATAAATATACATGGCATGGTGAGAGTTCATCCAGCAAGCCCACTAGTGGGACTAGTGCGAGCTGGATGTGTATCCATGTGTTCAGGAATGCTGTATCTTCCTCGGCAATTCCCAAGCTGGACACTACAGTCTTCCGGATGTGCAACATGGGGCCCAAAGAGGCAATGGTTCTGCGCCGAACACTGGCCGAACATACCAGGAGCAAGGACGCTACTAGGGGCTCCTGGCATCGCTACTAGGAGCAAGGACGCTACGAACGGGGCTCTGGAAGGAATTCATTTTCTTCTCACAAGAGGAACAGTAGCGTTCTTGCAGCAGGTGAGTGGTAATTGTGGTAACTATAGTTGTCAAAGAAAATGGGTGTCACTAAACAAAGAAAAGAAACAAAAATGGAAGGACACAAAAGGTCTAAAGGATTCTAAGAGTCATATGATAAAGTTATTAAGACTATGAAAGGTTGAAAGAAAGATAACGTAAGACCATGGTGAGGCGTTCCAGACCCAGGATTTTCATTCCGTCAGAGGCAAACAGAAGTATTACTTCCGTCACGTCGGTCAGTGATTGCGACAGAATGCGTCTCGCAATGTGTCTCGCAAATGATTGTTTTTGCACAAGTCTGTGTCTTTTTATGTTGAATTCCGCGATTTCTTCGTGAGGCTTGTCCCACAGAGATGGTGGCTGCCCTCGCTGGTGCTCTCCAAACCTTGGGCATGGATACATCGGAGTTGCCCAGATGCACGGGGACAACACTGCGTCGTAATGCCCTTGTTCCTAGTAGCTTCTTGTTTCTAATAGCTTCTTGTTACTACTAGGAAGGCACTTGTTTCTAGAAGCGATGCCCTTGTTACTAGTAGCTTCTTGTTACTACTAGTAAGGCACTTGTTTCTAGAAGCGATGCCCTTGATACTAGTAGCTTCTTGTTACTACTAGGAAGGCACTTGTTTCAAGAAGCGATGCCCTTGTTACTAGTAGCTTCTTGTTACTACTAGTAAGGCACTTGTTTCTAGAAGCGATGCCCTTGATACTAGTAGCTTCTTGTTACTGCTACTTGTAGGAAGGCACTTGTTTCTAGAAGCGATGCCCTTGTTACTAGTAGCTTCTTGTTACTACTAGTAAGGCACTTGTTTCTAGAAGCGATGCCCTTGATACTAGTAGCTTCTTGTTACTACTAGGAAGGCACTTGTTTCTAGAAGCGATGCCCTTGTTACTAGTAGCTTCTTGTTACTACTAGTAAGGCACTTGTTTCTAGTAGCTTCTTGTTTCTAATAGCTTCTTGTTACTACTAGTAAGGCACTTGTTTCTAGAAGCGATGCCCTTGTTACTAGTAGCTTCTTGTTACTACTAGTAAGGCACTTGTTACTAGTAGCGACGCACCTGTTCCTAGTAGCTTCTTGTTCCTACTAGTAAGGCACTTGCACTTGTTACTAGAAGCGATGCACTTGTTCCTAGTAGCTTCTTGTTCCTAGTAGTAGTAATGCCCTTGTTACTAGTAGCGATGCCTTTTGTTCCTAGTGGCGTCCTTGCTCCTACTAGCGGTGCCCTTTGCTCCTAGTATGACAAAGTAATTAGTGTGTAATGTGTAATGAAATCCTACCTAAGACCGCAAGCAATGGCTTGTGGCGAGTTCAATCAATACAACTGCCTTGATGGGTTTTGCTGAGGGTTTTGGTATAAATAGCTTGAACTTTGAGTCAAGAACAAAACCGACTTCTCAAGCAATGGTTGTTTGTTTTCCAATCGTTCTGCAATGAATACAGTACACCATAATACACGCATCCCACATGAATTTGCTTGTGTTTTGATCGTTCTGCATCAGAGGTTTTTTGAGGCAGCGGCCTCGGCTTTGGCTCGCATTGCTGCACCAGTAGATGCGAGGAGACTGTGGTAAGACCTTTCGGCATTCCAGATTTAAGGCATCGAAGTAGCAAGAATATCAAAGATGGCCTCCAACCTAGAAGCGATGACCTCCAACCTAATAGGTTTTCCACAATTCTTTTGGATGTGAACTCTTCTGACCTTTAAGACATTCAGAAAGTGTTGCTGTTTGCTTGAGAAAGCAGGAACTGTGGAGATTCGGGAGTACCACTCACAGATGGCGGAGACGAAGTACCTCGAGTGTTTCGCGAAAGCACCCGTGACCTTCCTTGTATTGCCTCTTGAGCCAAGCTTTGTTGACTGCTTGGCTTCTGAATTGCTTCTTTGGGAACATTTGCGAAGGTATATGAAAAAACGCTTTTGACAGAATTACCTATCATAAGAATTGGGACTTTTTGAGAATTCACAAAGGTTCTTGGCATTGAGGCTTGCGACCTATCCTGGCATCGCTTTCATCTACAAACCCAGTGGCTGGGTCGGTGGCCCAGTGGATCAAGTCGATGGCTGATCAAGTCCCGGACGCCATCCAGGAGGGCTTTTAAAAAGCAGGTTTGAGGTTGGAGGCCATCGGTTCCATCTAATAGGGCCTCCAACCTTAAAGCACGTTCAAGGAGAAAGTCTTCAGATGTGAAGCACAAAGTCTCAGGGTTTGCTATCTCAAGCATGTCGGTTTTCTGAGTCCGTGGCCGTCAGCCGGGAGACTGCTGGTCGTTTAGGCCGGCCTGCAGGAGCTGTGCAAGTTTAGATAGCAGCTACATAGCATCACACTATCCACTTGCAAACCTGCATGTGTTCACCCCATGTGATAAAATTGAGTATGAAGGAATGAGAAGCTGGAAACGAAGAATCATCGTTTCTTTCGATGAGTGTCACGAAGGTGATGAGGATGACTCCTCTGACGAAGAAGATCCGACTTTCGAGGTGCCGATCCAGATTCGGAACTGCAAGAACAAAGAACTTGGGAGGGTTTGCTGTTCAAGACACATCCAGATTCTCAATCAGCCTACTGTATATTGGCTTGCTGTTCAAAACTCCTGGCTTTTGCACGCCATTGTCTTGTGAATAAACAGGAAGCACCGCAGCTCACTTCTTGGCTATCATCAGAACTGGCGCCATGGTGTGGCACCCGGCGGAAGCAGATCGTAGCCTGCTCCATGTTGTTTACGAGCAATGGCTTCATAGGGTACAGGAATCAAAGTCGAGGTGCTGCCCATGATTGTCCACAGTATTGCCGAGACTAGAGCAGACAACCTCAATGTGATCCCACCTTCCTGTCCCCACCTTCCAAATGCATGACACGGTTCGATTGTGACGCCTCCTATATTCAGACCAAAGACTTAAAACAGAAAGTTAAGTTTCCCAAACAATCTAAGAACCAAATATTTAGTGCGAGCGCTTCTTCAAGGAAGCTCCCCCCCGCCTGATGAAGAAGCGTGAGCTATCTATCCTGCATTCTACCTAGAAGCTCAGTTAGCCTAGTAGCTTACTTCTCCATTTCTTAACTAAGTAGGCCCCTACTTAGTTAAGTAGGTCGGAAGATAAAGAAAGATCAACTCATCTTAGCGCATCTCTTCCGCATCTCTTAGGTCCCCCATTTCCGGAGACCCTTCAGCGCAACACGGCATCGTGCACCGCCTGGACGGGATCGGCACAAAAGGCCGTCTTGCAGTTCCGAGTAGCGATGCCAGGAGCACCTAGTAGCTTCTTGTTCCTAGTAGTAAGGCCAGGAGCCCCTAGTAGCGTCCTTGCTCCTAGT